CTCTCTCTCTCTCTCTCTCTCTCTTGCTTTTTATTTTAAAACAGAAGTGTTGAGAGTATTGCTAAAGCATTACTCTTTGAGAGATGATTACGAAGTTTCATTATATCGGCCCTGCCTCTGAATATCTTGATAAAAAGAACATAACTTAAGCCCAAACAAAATTTTATTCAACACAGATACCAAACGCAGATATTATGGTTTTCAATCGTTTGCATATTATGATATATAATCATGACATGAATATGTATTACTAATTAGTTAAACACGAATGAGTAACACAGTCGTGACCAGCAAGCATACCAATAAAAATTTGCGAGCCCATCTGTGCGTCATGGCACACATACATCCATACATTAATCTTTATTCTAACATTGGTAACAATATCAAAACTAAATATTAATATAATTATTATTTCTGAACCCAAAAACAATGGACGCACCAACTGCAAACATTTGATTATATCTAATTTATAAGAAAAGGTTTGGAGAGGAGGGACAAAAGTGGGACGTTCGGAATAACGGGCTTTATATCTCGTGCTCTTATCTTATAAAATTCTGTCGATAGACAGGTAAGTTTGTGATAATGTCACGGATCTAGTGAGACGTGAAGAGCACTAAATTCAACGCTGCTTCCTGGTTCATGCTCCACGGCTAACAAGCTCTTTTCTCTCCCCCACAGGCTCTTCTCTTCATCAATAGTTCACTGTTCCTGCCAAATCTCACCTTGTGCCACACTTTTTGATCAGATCGGTGATCAATTTGTTTGCCCTGCGACGCCAGTGTGTGGGTTTCCACTGGCCGGCGATGGCAACGCGCGCTCTCGATTTGGAACAGGAAACAGTGCCCACCTCCGGAAAACGACGGTGATAGAGCTAGACTCATAATTCAAGTGACCTCCTACGTCTATAAAGATACTATTTGCTATAGTTCGTATCACCCCAGCGAGAAAAAACCCCCAACAACAAAGGTTTCGATATCGTCAAAGGCCAGAAAGATTATGAAGTGATCAGTGTGATTCCTGGAGTACTGATCGTGGATCCAACATCCACTGACTCTCTGTGTTTTGCTGAAACAGGAACAGCCTATTGTTTGGCGTCACGTTGACTCGAGGAACATGAGAGGCAGACGGTTAATAGACGTGTCCCAGCTGGGTAAGAACTTTGACAAATATTTGCTGAACTGTGTTTTGCTTGAACGGTTGTCTGCGACAAAACAAGTCTCTGACAGCGTAGTTTCCCTCGATCTCTATATTTCCTATTTAAGAAGCGGCAGCTCGTTATAAACATGTGCTTTGGTCATGTTTTTTTTGTCGGTAGGCAAAGCTCTCAAAAGCGGTTATACACTGCCTGCATGCCAAGCGTGTCATATATGTTTGTACGACATGCGAACTTGCGCTACTAGCAATAACCACGGAGTTATGTATCGATTTGCGCTCAGTGTACATTATTTCATTGTGCTGTGTATAATGGGTTCATAACGTATATATTCAGTGAGGTGCTGCCGTGTACAATGAGCTTGAACGTGTTCATGAGTCTGTATAAACGTGTACGTTTCCGGTACCGGGTTTTGAAAGGCAGGTGTAGAGAGAGTTGAGGGAGAGGGGGG